AAAATCTCCTGAATTCCAACCCCAAAATCTCCTGGTGAATCCTCAAATTCCCAACCCCAAAATCTCCTGAATTCCAACCCCAAAATCTCCTGAATCCCAACCCCAAAATCTCCCAAATCCCAACCCCAAAATCTCCCGAATCCCAACCCCAAAATCTCCTGAATTCCAACCCCAAAATCTCCCGGTGAATCACCAAATTCCCAACCCCAAAATCTGCCGGGGAATCACCGAATTCCAACCCCAAAATCTCCTGAATTCCCAACCCCAAAATCTCCTGAATCCCAACCCCAAAATCTCCCGAATCCCAACCCCAAAGGCTCCTGGTGAATCCTCAAATTCCCAACCCCAAAATCTGCCGGGGAATCATTGAATTCCAACCCCAAAATCTGAATTCCCAACCCCAAAATCTCCTGAATTCCAACCCCAAAATCTCCTGAATTCCAACTCCAAAATCTTCCAAATTCCCAGCCCCAAAATCTCCTGGTGAATCACCAAATCCCAATCCCAAAATCTCCCAGTGAATCACCGAATTCCAACCCCAAAATCTCCTGAATTCTCAACCCCAAAATCTCCTGAATTCCCAACCCCAAAATCTCCTGAATTCCAACCCCAAAATCTCCCGGTGAATCACCAAATTCCCAACCCCAAAATCTGCCGGGGAATCACCAAATCCCAATCCCAAAATCTCCCAGTGAATCACCGAATTCCAACCCCAAAATCTCCCGGTGAATCACCAAATTCCCAACCCCAAAATCTGCCGGGGAATCATTGAATTCCAACCCCAAAATCTCCTGAATTCCCAGCCCCAAAATCTCCTGAATTCCAACCCCAAAATCTCCTGAATTCCAACCCCAAAATCTTCCAAATTCCCAACCCCAAAATCTCCTGGTGAATCACCAAATCCCAACCCCAAAATCTGCCGGTGAATCACCGAATTCCAACCCCAAAATCTCCTGAATTCCAACCCCAAAATCTCCTGAATCCCAACCCCAAAATCTCCTGAATTCCAACCCCAAAATCTCCTGGTGAATCACCAAATCCCAATCCCAAAATCTCCCAGTGAATCACCGAATTCCAACCCCAGAATCTCCTGAATTCCAACCCCAAAATCTTCCAAATTCCCAGCCCCAAAATCTCCTGGTGAATCACCAAATCCCAATCCCAAAATCTCCCAGTGAATCACCGAATTCCAACCCCAAAATCTCCCGGTGAATCACCAAATTCCCAACCCCAAAATCAAAACCATGGCTGGCAGCAGCTCCAGCCCAAACCTCAAATCCCTGGAAAACACAGGGGGGGGAAAAAAAACCCCAAAACAAACAAAAAAGAGGAAATCTGTGAGCAGCACAAAGGGGCTGAGCGAGGAATTCCAGAGCTGAGAATTTCTGGGAGCTCAGTTTGGAAATTCCAAGGGAATTCAGGGAGCTGCTGCTCAGCAAGAGAGCACAAAAAAATTCCTTTTTTTTTTTGGGTTTTTTAGGAGAAAAGCACATTCCTACCGCAATAACTCCCAGGTGCCGGGAGGATTCTGTAAATCCCAAGGGTTTTTTTGGGGTTTAACCCTTAAAAATCCCTTTTTTTTTTTTTTCCCTGTGCCTTCCCCAAATCTTCTCCCCCGCTGTAATTTGCACTAATATTTAGGGATTTTTAAAGAAAACCGCGATGTCAAACCTCTCTGGTAGCTGAAAATGCCAAATAACGCTCGTAGGGACGGCCGAGAGCCTCGAGCTGGGTGGGAAGAGGAGGAGGAGGAAGAAATAAAGAGAATTTTATTTTCCAAATCCATTTTCCAGCAAATTTTCCTGCTGGAAGCGGGAGCAGAGCGGCTCCATCACCACCAGCAGCTGGGAAAAAATCTCTTTCCTGCCAGTCTAAACCAGCAATATCCGTTTTTTACCTCGATGTGAACTAAATCTCTGACTTTTTCCCCCTCCCTTTGAGATTTTTGCGATGTATGGAATTATTATTTTAGGTTTTTTTTATTTTTTAATGGTACCTTTTCTGTCTTTAACTCGTGTTTGGGAGAGCGAGAGGAGCTTTCTGGTGTGTTTGAGGGGTGGTTGTGGCGCTGCTGAGTGGATTAACGAGGAAATTAAATAAAATGAGTTGAAAAATGAGAAAAAAATGGGTAAAAAATGGGTAAAAAATGAGCAAAAAATGGGTAAAAAATGAGAAAAAAATGGGTAAAAAATGAGCAAAAAATGAGTATAAAATGAGTAAAAAATGAGTAAAAAATGAGCAAAAAATTAGTATAAAATGAGTAAAAAATAAGCAAAAAATGAGTATAAAATGAGTAAAAAATGAGCAAAAAATGAGTATAAAATGAGTAAAAAATGAGAAAAAAATGAGAAAAAATGAGTAAAAAAATGTGTAAAAAATTAGTAAAAATTAGTAAAAAATGAGTAAAAAACGGGTAAAAAATGAGTAAAAAATGAGAAAAACGAGTAAAAAACGGGCAAAAAATTAGTAAAAAATGAGTAAAAAAGGTGTAAAAAATGAGTAAAAATTAGTAAAAAATAAGTAAAAAACGGGTAAAAAATGAGAAAAACGAGTAAAAAACGGGTAAAAAATGAGTAAAAAAGGTGTAAAAAAATTAGAAAAAAATGAGAAAAAATGAGTAAAAAATGTGTAAAAATGTGTAAAAAACTAGTAAAAATGAGTAAAAAACAGGTAAAAAATGATTAAAAAACGGGTAAAAAATGAGAAAAAAATGAGTAAAAAATGAGAAAAAACGAGTAAAAAAAGAGATGAAGGAAAGAGTAAAACCCACCTGAATCCCAGTGAAGCTCCACGAGGAGAAACGCTTCCCGATTTCCCGATTTTTTGGGGAATATTTGCCTGTTTTGGGGTTTATCCAGCCCTTAGGGATTGTTCTGGGCTCAGCTCCACGCCCCGTTATCCCTCCCAGGCAGGAGGGGCAGGACTGGGAGCTGATCCCAGCGGGAAAAGCTGGGATTGAGCTGGGGACAGATCCACGCTCGGGTAAGAGCAGCAGCCTCACAATTCTGGGGGATAAACAGAAAAAATCGGCTGCGGAGAGAGGAGAAAAATTAAATTAATTTGGCACAAAGCTCAGCCGGAGGTTGGGATGGGAAGGGGGAGCCCCATCCAGAGCTGGGGTTCACCCTGGAGGGTGATCCCTGAATTCGGGGAGGGGGAAAATCGGGATGGAAAATTCCTTTTTATGGGATTTTCCGGCTGGTTTTGGGGTGGAAGGGGGACACTGCTCTGAGCTCGCTTTAAAATGACCCCAAGAGCTGGAGGAGAGGGGCAGGAAAAGGAGGAAAATTAAATTAATGAAGGTGGATTTTAATTATTGAAGAGCTGGGTTTGGAGAGGGGGATCAGGCAGGCCTGGAACCTTCCAGAGGGTCAGGAAAAGGAGGAAAATTAAATTAATGAAGACAAATTTTAATTTTTGGAGAGGAATCAGGCAGGCCTGGAACCTTCCAGAGAGAGGGGAAAAGGAAGAAAATTAAATTAATGAAGGTGGATTTTAATTTTTGAAGCTCTGGGTTTGGAAAGGGGTGGGAAAAGAAAGAAAACTAAAGGAATAAAGGCAAATTTTGATTTTTGGAGAGGGATCAGGCAGGCCTGGAACCTTCCAGAGGGTCAGGAAAAGGAGGAAAATTAAATTAATGAAGGTGGATTTTAATTATTGAAGAGCTGGGTTTAGAGAGGGGCAGGAAAAGGAGAAAAAATTAAATTAATGAAGGTGGATTTTAATTATTGAAGAGCTGGGTTTGGAGAGGGGGATCAGGCAGGCCTGGAACCTTCCAGAGGGTCAGGAAAAGGAGGAAAATTAAATTAATGAAGCCAAATTTTAATTTTTGAAGAGCTGGGTTTAGAGAGGGGCAGGAAAAGGAGAAAAATTAAATTAATAAAGGTGGATTTTAATTATTGAAGAGCTGGGTTTGGAGGGGGGGATCAGGCAGGCCTGGAACCTTCCAGAGGGTCAGGAAAAGGAGGAAAATTAAATTAATAAAGGTGGATTTTAATTTTTGAAGCTCTGGGTTTGGAGAGGGGTGGAAAAAGAAAGAAAACTAAAGGAATAAAGGCAAATTTTGATTTTTGGAGAGGGATCAGGCAGGCCTGGCAGCTTCCAGCGGGGAGGGAATCGCTGACACGGCCGGGGCTCAGGGCCAGGGGGGCTCTGTTTTGTTAAATCCTTTTGTCCCCGGCTCT